AACTCAAACATCACATGACTCTCACACCCGCTTATGTCAGTAAGTGTTGACTCGACTTTTTAATGAGAGCCATCTATGGGTCCCTGTGCTCCACATTTCACTGTCTTGCAGCCTGATAGTAGACATGTATAGTACTCATTAGTGTAAAATATGTATAGGAACGTACCGTTAAAATATTATATCCATAATTGAATTAATGAAAATTCCAATTAAAAAATATTAAATAAACTTTTAATTTCAATATTTACAATAATAAAACATGTAATCAAACAATAATAATATTTTATTATTTAGGGAAAGTACAGTAATTAGTTCTTTTTATAATATTCCTACTATAATAAACATAATATTCAATTATATATTACCTTCACAAATAATACTAACTTGTATGGGGTTTTACGTGCATACATTCTTACCGCGCATTCGCTAATAATTACAATAACCTTCTATACCATTATATCCTATGTATTGTATCCTATGTATCCTGGATACTATGTATTGTATACTCTAAATACAATAAAAGTACAAATGTCCTAAAATGCACTTAAATATGTAATATTTTATATAAACAATATAAATATTGATGGTTAACATTGAGAATTCATTTAAACATAAGTATTGTTTAAGATATTTATTTCTAGTTGGTTGATTACAAAATATTTAAAATTGCAGTAATCGATTTTAAATAAAAATAATAATATTTTGTATTTAATTTTAAGTATTTTAAATATTACGTGAAAATGTGTGAATCAATAGTGAATGCAAAACGAGTGGTAGGGCTGGGAATCTACGAAATGGGCACTAATAGCTTAAATATGAGGCGTAAGTGTAAGAGTGAGCGCCGACTGGACGGTAAGGTTGTGGTCATTACCGGCGCCAACACTGGGATCGGCAAAGAGACTGCACTTCAGCTATCGTTACGCGGGGCTAAGGTTTGTGTGAATAATATTAAAATAAAATGAATATAACAAAAATAAATAATTAATTAATTTTTGCAATTAATAAAATGACTGACTATAACATTATTAATTATATGCTTTTGTTTATTATAAGCAGATATACATCGGGTGTCGGAGTCTAGAAAAGGCTGAGTCGGCCATCGATGACATGAAAGGAGTGAATCCGAGTGCAGACATCACTGCACTTAAGCTCGACTTGTCTTCATTCAAATCCGTTCGTC